AAGCGTGACGAGCCGCCAGTCCGTAGACACCAAACTTGTGGACTTTGGACAAACTTTCCGTGTACATGTCCACACACTAGTCTATAAATGGTGTTGGCACTCTCAGCCATATGAAGATGACCCTTCGAAGAGCGACTCAGAAGGCTGGGCACATATGTTACTCAGCGTGACGAGCCGAGTCCGTAGACACCCACATTTGTGACTTTTGACAAAATTTTCGTCCAGCAAGCGCGGCCTCGAACGTAACACTGCATCCCTTCGTAGGAGCGACTAGAAAGCCTGGCTGACATATTATGCTCAGCTTGACACGATTTCCAGACACCAAATTTGTGACTTTCGACGGAAAATTTTGGAAATTGATTAAAACACAGAATCCTTAACGGTCCCCGGCAGTCATATGAGAGACCGCCCATGGCCCCTCGAAGAGCGACTCAGAAGCGGGGCTGACATATGCTTACTCACTTGACGGCCCAGTCCGTAGACACCAAACTTGTGACTTTGGACAAACTTTTCGTTTGACATTCACACCTATCTTAATGGTTGTGCCACCTCAGCATATAGAGATGACCCTTCGGAAGAGCGACTCAGAAGGCTGGGGCTACATATTACTCAGCGTACAACCGAAGTCCAGTATACACCCAATTTGTGACTTTTGACAAAATTTTGTCGTCGCAGCAAATGCGGCCTCGAGACGTTAACGATGGCATCCCTTCGAAGGAGCGACGTAGAGAACCTGGGGCTGACATATTACTTCAGCGTGACGAAGCCGACGTCCGTAACACCAAATTGACTCGAGAAAATTTTTGGGAATTATTCAAACACAGAATTTAACCGTGTCCCCCGGCAGCATATGAGAGACCGCCCATGCGACCCTCCCCGGAAGGATGACTCAGAAGGCTGGGACTACATATCGTTACTCAGCGTGACAGCCGAGTCCTGTGGACACCAAACTGTGGGACCTTTGACAAACTTTTCCTGTGACATTCACCACTGTCTTAATGTGTCACCTCCGCATTCATGAAGATGACCCTTCGGAAGGAGCGACACTCAGAAGGCATGGCTACATAGATTACTCAGCTGACGAGCCGAGTCCGTAGACACCCAACTTGCTGGAACTTATTGACAAAATCTTTTCTCCAGCAAGCGGAAAAACTCGGAGACTTAAACGAGACTCCTTCCGAAGGACGACTTAGAAGCCTGGGGCTGACATATGTTATCCTCAGCTGTACGAGCCGATCCAGTAAGACACCAAATTTGTGACTTTCGAGAAAATTTTTCGCGAAATTATTAAAACACAGAATCGTTAACCTGTGTCCCCGCAGCATATGAGAATCGCCCATGCGTCCCTTCGGAAGGGAGCGACTCAGAAGGGGGGTACTATTTACTCAGCACGAGCGAGTCCGTGGACACCAAACTTTGGACTTTGACCAAACTCTTTCCTCTGTACATTCACACTAGTCTAATGGATGTGCCACCTCTTGCATATGAGAGATGACCCCTTCGAATGACACTCAGAAGCTGGCTGACATATGTTACTCAGCGTACGAGGAGCCGAGTCCGTAGACACCCAATTTGTGGACTTTTGACAAAATTTTTCGTCGCAGCAAGCGGGCCTCGGAGACGTTTAACGAGGCATCCCTTCCGAAGGGAGCGACTTAGAAGCCTGGGGCTGACATATGTTACTCAGCGTGACGAGCCGAGTCCGTAGACACCAAATTTGTGGACTTTCGAGAAAATTTTTGGGAAATTATTAAAACACAGAATTTAACCGTGTCCCCCGGCAGCATATGAGAGACGGCCCATGGCGGCCCTTCGGAAGGGAGCGACTCAGAAGGCTGGGGCTGACATATGTTACTCAGCGTGACGAGCCGAGTCCGTAGACACCAAACTTGTGGACTTTGGACAAACTTTTCCGTTGTGACATTCACACTAGTCTTAATGGTGTGGCACCTCAGCATATGAGAGATGACCCTTCGGAAGGGAGCGACTCAGAAGGCTGGGGCTGACATATGTTACTCAGCGTGACGAGCCGAGTCCGTAGACACCAAACTTGTGGACTTTGGACAAACTCTTCCCTTGTGGCACAGACATTGCACCCAGCAAGCAGAGCTAGCCACCCAGCGAACCGCCGGCGCCCCCCCCCCCCCCCCCCCACGCATCGCCCCCCGCACACAGAGCAAC